GCGTCACCAGGCTACTCTCTTCATGCCCCTCTGGGCACTGCTCTCAGCCTCCTTAGATCTCAGAAGAGGCAAGACACAAACACAGCCTACAGCAGGAGTCCTCTCTCTAGGTGAGGACTGAGACTTGGAGAGGGTCAGTCACTTACCCAGGCTCACAGAGGACCTCAGTGGCAGAGCCCACACACTAGCTGCACCTCCCAGCAGGAAGACTCTCCTGAACAGTTTTCCTACATCCTGCTAACAATCAGAGGACAAGCCCTCTAGGGGTAAAGCCTGCTCTTTCTGGCCGCCTAGCACTTGGACTGGGTCCATTAGGTGCTCTTAAGTGCTGGCTTAAGTCTATCAATATCAGAAGCTCCAGAGTCCCCAAACCCAATGTCTCAGCCTGCTGGCTGATTTCTGGGGACTCTAACTTCCTGAAAACACAAATTTTAAGACAGCCTACCCTGGGGAAAGTCCCTTGCTCGCCCTGCTCAGCTTGCTTCTCTGCCCCTGAGGAAAACATAACCTCAAACCACAGAACTGGGCTCCAAGTCTCTTCTCCAGTTGTCCTTCAAGGGCTAAGTGGGTAGAGGGGTGGGGGTTTGCAGAAATATGTCACCTCTCCAGCCCCTGTGGTGTGAGGAGGAGATGTGGAGACTATTCCCACTAACACTCTAAGTCCCTGATTCTCTGGAAAGCCTCCCCTGCATCAACCCGCTCTCCTCGCTCTGCCCCCCCGCCCCCGAAGCTTTCAGTGACTAACCAACCCAGGAATCCTTGCCATACACACAGAAGAAAAAGTGGCTCCCAAAAGAGAGTTTTTACAAGTATAGGTACCTGGCAATCAGCCTCCTGTATCACAGCCGAATTTTGCTCTGTAGGGTTTTCAACGGCTGACTGTTTGGACACAGATGACCAGGTCTTTCTTCCAAGGCACCTCTAGTAGACGTCTAATCATCTGGTTAGCAGCCAAGTGTTGTTAACTATTTGTACTACTGAGGACTCACACATGAAATTCATGAGTCAGAGTTGATACTTCAGCTTTGATTTACACATTCAGGACCAAACACCAGACCAAGTATGTCATAATCTCTGGAGGACAGGGTACACCCTGTCTTTTATTGACCTTCCCTGAATTTCTGAGGCCGTAAATCTTTATGAGACTGCCCATCTCTTTCTCCCCAAAAGCTACTCTACTTTTGTTGTTAAGTGTGTTAAGTTGTAGACAACTCATAACAACCTTAAGAACGAAAAGCCCTGAACACTTCGTTTCTCTAAGTTCATAGGGTTTCCGGAGGCAAGCTATTTCGGAAGTGGATGCCACTCCTGCTTCCAAGCTTGTTTTAATTGGGGAGCTCCACCTAACACTGTTTACCATGGGGAACCATTATTGTATTTGACACATCAGTGTCACAGTGTTCAGCATCACAGCAACCACGAGTTACCTCTGTGCAGCAAATGCACAGACCTTAGAAGAAAGTTTGACCAAAAACAATTAAAACCAGGCCCGCGGGCTACAGATTAAAAATCAGCCATCTCTGGCTTGGCAGCATTGCTTTCTGTCCACTAGGCCAACTGATCTATTGTTGTTGTTGTTGTTGAGTGCCATCGAATCAAAAGGCTACTAGTTATTTTAAATTGCTGACCTTTTGGTTAGCAGCCTGTTTTGTACTACTCCACCAAAGCTCCTTGGAGAGTAGGGTGACTTGCTGATACTGGTATTAGAATCAATCTCTATGGCTTCCATTGGATTCCCAGAAATCATATCACATGAAGGGTCAAGCACCACTTATAGCTAACCTTCCAGTAGGTTTTCAGAGGCTGTAAATCATACGGGAGATTGCCCCATCTTTGTTTTGCAGAGCAGCTGGTGGCTTTGAATTGCCAGATAGGAGCTGCCTCTCGGCTAGCAGTTCAGTTCCCTACAGACTATGCCAAAGCACCAGTAACGGTAGTGCTATGTGGTTTATTAGGCCAGAAATCCAAGTTACCAGCAGGCCAACTGCATCCTACTCCTTCATAGCTGCTCTGGTAGGCTTACATGCCAAGGGACAGCCTGCAACTGGTTGAGATTCAAAAGGTGGGCAGAATGAAGGAAGGCAGGAACCTGTGTTCTAGGGCTGAGTCTTGCCTTTTCCTCTCACTAAGGGGATTCTGGAGCAGACTTCGGGTTTTATGCCCTTCCACTAAAAATACTAAGCCCAGGTACCTTGGGATTTTTCATTTCCGTTCTCTGTACTGAGGCCTGCCTCCTACCCGTTCTGGCCAAAAAAAGGAGCTACTCACTTGGTATAAAGGCCATTTAGGAAGTTGGACCTCAAGGCTCCGGCCCTGTCCAGGGTCCTGACTCTAGTCTGAGCACTTTCTCCCACACTAGATAGAGGAGGACCCCTCTCTGGTGGTGGTGGGCATCCCTAGCTTTGTACTTTCAGGTGTGGTGGGAAGTGGGGCTCTGAAAAGTCACCAAAGGGACCGGCCTGCCTATCTATATTCCAAATCTGTTAAATCCAGTCTCCCCATGGCTGGGGGCTTCACAATTTGCAGACCTGTCCTTACATTCTCCCCACATTAGTCCATATTTTTAATAAGATGGCCAAAACCACATGTCCTGCCAGGCAGGGGTCTGCAAGCACTCCCACTCATAATGGCCAGTCTGGCAGCAGAGAGGGTGACCAGCCTGCCAACCACCCCTCAGGCTGCTTACTCAAGAGGAATGAGGAAATGGATGCCCCCCCCGCCCCCCAGCAAGATGTTCAAAGACTTCATTTCTGAGACCCAAAAACTTATAAAGCCTCTCCATTCTCCAATTCATTCATAGAAAGAAAAGCAAGCAGCCCAGAGAAGAGATTTAGTACAAACACTATCTGCCGCCAAATCTCCACTTTCATCTCCGCCCTCTCATGAGCCAAATAATTTGGAAGCTTTCATTGATGGTTTCCTCTCCACCCCACAGTAACTCAGAATTTATGCCGGCCACGGCTCAGCCTCCTCAGAGGACGGACGAGGTTTCCCTCTCAGGCTGTTCTCCAGCCCACTACGTGTGTGCAGGCGCGGGTGGGGGAGTTTGTCCTTGGCGACAGTTCAAAGCAGGAAGGACTTTCTCACCCCTCCAGGACTTGGTGGGAAGGGGAGTGTCTCCTCAGACCTCAAAGCCACCTGCAGAGGATCCAGGGCTGCACTCAGTGGGGGAAGGGGGCATGCACAGTTTAACTTGGCAAACAGTTAGGCAAGGCCAAAAGCATTGATACCCTTTACAGTGGCTGATTCTTAATTTTAGATGGGGAAAGGTGCAAAGCTCTGGGCTGGAAAACCCAAGAGGCTGGGGAATTTTCGGGGCCCCATGCAAATTGCTCTTTCCCCACAGCTCTGCTGACACCTGTTTCCTCCCGCCCCTGCCCCAGGGAGTGGTGGGCAGCCCAGCCCAGTGATCTTCCAGACAGGCCCCTCCTCTAACTGGGGCGTGAGGGAGCAGGCAGAGGGAGGGCCTGACCCCTGCACAGCTTGAAGTCAGGAGAAGGAGCCAGAACCGGGAAGGTCCCCAAAGATTCCTCAGCCAGACCAGTCTGAGAAAGCAGAGGACAAGCTGGTTTCTGGGAGAGGCAGTTCTCCAGCAAAATGAGCCTCACAATTCCCTTCTCTTAAGGCCTGGAAGGCACATAAAGGTGGTAATTGTTTGCTAATTCATCATAGCAAGTAGGGAGCCTTGGTGGTCTCCAGGGAGATGTACCTGACAACCACGTGGTGGCCAGGCCTCCCAGGTCCAAGCACAAGCTTCCTGCCTCCACCTAAGCACATCCTATTTCCTCCTCCCAGCAGGTGTATGCCCGGCAGGCAGAGTGTCCTGCCACCCCCATCCCGGCTCTGCATTCCTGTTCAGACCACATTCCAGGAGATGTCTCCATTCATCTCCACTAGCCCCTCCCAAGGACCCCCAGGGAGAGCACTAGATTGGGATCCCAAGGCAATTCCAAAGTAATTAAACTGGGAGGTGGGGAAAAGAATAGTGGGAGGAGGGGAAGACATTTTAAAGGCACAAAATCACAAAGGTTCTCATCCCTACGCCAAAGGGGGAGTCTGTGGGTAGGATGGCTTCTAGAGCGGGAGTCCTTTTTTTTTAATGCAAATCTCAGCAGAAGACTCTCATTGGGGTTAGCTAATGACTGTGGTGTAAGGACTGGGAAGCCTGGCTTGAAACAAAGATACCCTTCCCCACCTCATGGGGTCCCCAAGGACTTCTGCTTTATATTTCACTCTGTCCACCCCAGAATTCAGGTGTGAAGGTCCAGCTCATCACCAGGCGACTTTGTAGGCTACCTAACAATGTTCGAAATAACAGCCAGGTTTGGACACTTCCCTGCCCCCAGCTTAGACACGCAATGTTCTTGCGGCCCCATCTTGGCCAAGAGCCTCTTCCCTGTTCAGCTCTCAGAGAAGGGTCCAGGGTTAAGCCCTGTATGGTTTCTGTGCTGCTGCCAAGGAGACAGTTGAAGGTGAGTGAGGGTCTTCCCCTGAACCAGCGATCTGAGCTGAGTATGCATCCGCCTACTCAGCTTTGCTAGGCTGGGCCTCAGAGGATCAGAAGTGAAGGGGGCATCTCAGAGGCCTGGCCAGGCCCATCCAGGGACTGCTTCCTGTGGAGCAATGGCTGCAGAGTGTCATGAACACTGAAGACTATGATGGCAGTAAGTCTTAACAAGCTAGGACTATGGCATTTTCTTGGCCCTCCTTCCTGGAATTTCTCACAGCAGCCATGAGCCTTTTTTGAAACATTGGAGTATGTCAATTATCTTGTTCATGACTCTCCAATAACTTCCTCTTTTGCTAAGAGCAATAGGAACAAATTTTCAACAATCTACAAGGCTTATGTGCATCAACAACCCCACCAGCATGCTCCCATTCATGCCACACAGGCTTCTCCAGCACTGTCTGTGCCTTATGCAGGGAGCACTTTTCTCCTGCCTCCCTTCCTATTGGTCTCTGCTCTTGTCCTCCCCTCCAAGGCATTTCTCAATACCCACCTCTGAAGGCTTCTTCTCGTTCTGTCGGGGCCAGCCCGACTTGGTGCTGCAGGGCAGTTTGGAGCATCGTGATGCAGATGTAGTGTGGCCTGTAGGGAGAGCACAGGCTGTTAAAGAGTCCTCCTAGGGCCAAGAACACCACCCATGCACAAGGAGAGGAAGCCTGAAGGGAAAGCTTAGGCTTGGATGCTCAGGAGGTGGAGACCTACAAGAGCAAAGGCCACTGGTGGGTGGGGATGGGAGTCTCAACCACTCACCAACCAGAAAGGCTTGAGGAAATTAAAGGCAGTTACCAGGGCTCATTATCAGGTGACCCTGGATAAGTCCTTTGTCCTCTCTGGGCTCTGTAATGTTGGTCAGTAAGTCTCCTAGGTCCACAACACTCTGGGAATGATACCCAGAGGGTACAGAGGAGCAGGGCAGGACAGTGGGAAGAGAGCTGCGCTTCAGGAGATCCACAGACCAAGCTTAGCCACTTGTTGGCTGTGCCATGTGGGGTAAATGGCTGCATAGTTCTCAGTCTATTTCCTCACTTATCAAGTAAGAGGAAGAGAATAACTGTCTTCAAAAGTTGGGTGGAAAGATGGAATTATTTGTCTGTGAAGTCTTAGCACAATCCCCGGCACACAGTGATTCCTCAATAAACATTGTTTTGTAGTCAGATGCTGTGGAGTCGGATCTGACTCACAGCCATTCAATTAACAGCATGAAACATTGTCCATTAGTTGCTATTATTAGGGTCCAAGGCCCCTTGCTAAGGAGCCATAGTAGGATAGGAGGCTAACTGTTGAGACGCTAGCTAAGCGTAGACTGTCTGAATCCACAAGCTGCTTCATGGGAGAAAGACCAGGCAGCCTTCTCCTGGGAAGATTTCCAGCCTTGGAAATACAATGGAGGATCAGCAATGGAGGATCACTGTAATTCAGAATCACCTTGATGGCAAGGGGGTTGGGTTTTGGTAGGCCTTTGCTGGGTTACAAATCCGGGGCCTCTATCCCTATGGGTCAAAGTCACAGCAAGCAGGGCCACAGATAGACACCTCTCTCCACCCAGCCATCCCCACCTAGCCCTCTGCTTTGGATGAACAAGGACAGCAGTTAAGAGTGGGAATGGTGTTTGGGACTGGAGGGAGAGTGTGCCCCAATCTGCTGCAACCTTGATGAAGTGACAGGTCTCAGCTGCCCAGACACTCACCCTTGTGCTGACTGACCCTCACAGGGCCCTTCTACCTGTGATGAAGTTAGAAGCACATGATGCTTTTCTTTTTGGCTCTCCTGGGTCAGGTCACAGGCAGCATGATGTGGCCACAGAGAGGAAGAGCTGACAAAGTCAGACACAGCAGCCAAGCTGAGCAGACAGACCTCAAAGGGTAGCCAAAAAGACTTAGAGATAAGGAAGGGGCTGGGACCTAACTGGTCATCTGTGCTCAGGCTCCCATGGAGCCACAGAGCTTTGGAAGCGTCAGGGGCCTGAGAGATCTTCCTAGTCCTGCTTGTTCTGTGCAACTGTGAACAAACCGAAGTTTGCAGGGCCCCAGGCGTGGTCTTTGGTACAGCAGCGCCCATTCCTCAGCCCAGCCCCGGAGGGCCAGCACTGCTAAGGTGCACGTCTCCAGCAGGGCAGATCTCTTGCCCAGCCAAACATATTCCTACTCCTTCCCTGACTTGTACATGCAGGCCTGGCTTCCTGGGTAACTGAAAACAGCTGCCTTGGGTCCCAGTACCAGGGAAGCACTTTGCTTTGTACACAAAACCTCCCTTCGTACTCCCTAAAACCCTTTATTTTTCCCTTGACAGCCTCCCCATTAGACATAGAACTGACATACCTATCCATATACAAGTCTACCTCTGAGATCTTATCCCAAAAGGCCATGAATGAAGGCCAGTTTCCTTCATCAACATCTTCAGCAAACATTTACTGAGTACCTACTATGTGCCAGATCTTAGCTGTGAGCTTAGGAAACAACAGTAAAGACACATGACCCCTCGCATCATTGTTTGGTTAAGAGATGGCCAAAATAACAGCAACGGCTTTGACATTTGGAGTGCTGAGACTCTCTAAAGTGTCCTGATGCCAAGGAAGGGCCAGAGAGAGGGGAAATGCTCCAAGCAAGAGGGAGCAGTATATGCAAGAGCAGAGGTGATGTGTTCAAACCAGAGCTGAGACCTAGAAGGGAAGGGGAATGGCAAGACAGGACAGCAGGGCCCTGGGGGAAGGTGGGGGGGGAAGTGCAGGATCTTCTCAGGAGCAGAGGGGCCTGACTGGACTTCCGCATGACCTGATGGGTCAACAGTTTGTCCCTGGCTGCTTAGTGGAGCTAGGACCTCTGCCCACGCCCCCAGTCTTGGCCAGATAACTATTCAAATGTTTTCCATGCAGAAGTCCCAAATGGAAGTCCTTACTGTCAGTGGTGTCAGAGTTGTCGCTGCTGATGGAGTATTTTCGCCTCTTCTCTTCCATCTGCAACAAAAGGCAGGCCCATTAAACTCAGAGGCTTAGGAAATCTCTATCTCACAGAAAATTGCCCCATAACTTACCTCCCCATATTCATTCCACTGCTAAAAAGAATGAGAACAAAGCCTGTCCACACAGCTTCTCTGTAAGCTCCACCACTGCACCCACCCCCACCCCGCTGCCCCCAATTCCCCATTACTCCCAACCCTGAGCTTGGAGAAAGGGTTGCATCTCCCGTCTCCAGAGCCCAGAGCCCTCAGAGAGGCAGAGATCTGGCCAGACTCAGACTTAACAGTGATCTTGACTTGCTGGAGCTAGCTTCCATTCAGCGATTCCACGCCTTCTGCAAGGTCTCATGCCCAGATGAACGTCAAAAGGGAAGAGGAAACAAGAAGGCTCTTCCAGAAGGACCATGTTCTCTGAACCCAAGCCAGCGCGGAAAGCACATCCTAAGAGTGGCAGCCAGCAGAGGTGGAAGCGAGCAGGGTGAGGGCTTTTCCAGGCTGAGTCACTAGATACACAGTGCTAAAGCTAAGCCTTGCTTTCACCAGTGAACAAAATCTTGGGCATGGCTATTCCCCACCCCGCTGACGATCACAACCCTTTTCCACAGAGACAAATCACCTTCATCTCTACTCCAGTACCTAACAGCAGGTAATATACCAGGGCAGTGCTTACCTCTGTAGCTCCTTCTCCTCTGGCACTACTTCTTACTCCCAATAGCCCTATGAATCGTTGGCTCTTAGCTCCACTGACAGGTGAAGCTCAGTGCCTTGCCCTGCTAATCACTGGCTGGGCTGGGATTTGAGTCCACTGGTCTGATCCCTGAGCTCCAAGTTGAGCTGTCTTTGAGCCCTCGGTCAGCTCCCACTTGCTGGAAGTGCTTTTCTCGCCCACTCTCACTAATCCTTTAGAGTCCTGGGCAGCAGGGCTTGCTCCTGTCTCCTCTTTGCAGGGAGCACACCCAGAGGCTTTTGTTAACCTGCCTCTAGCTGAGTCCTATGATGAGAACACATCTAGGTCTCAGGGTCCAGAATGCGCTTGACCACATTGCAGCTGGTCCTAGAACTGAGGTGGCTTCACTGGCTACAGCAAAGGACAGACAATAAGCATCATGGAGAAAGGCCTTTGTAGGGCAACTGAGGCCCCCAGCCCTGTTCTGGGCCCTATCTACTTGTTGGCCCTGGACCAAACTCTTCACACTGTGCCCTGCATTGTCCCTTGCTGAAATTAGGGTGCACTAGCTGGCCTAGTGGAAAGAAACTGCGCTGCATCCCAAAGACACGTGGTTCAAATCCACCAGCAGCTCTGCAGAAGGATGGGCATTTTCCTCCCGTGCGATTAATTGCCTCAGAAAACATGCCAGAGGGTCAGCTATGGGTCAGTTCTGACTCGATGGATTAAACCAGATGGGGCTCCAAACTAAGTGTGACTACCCAGACCTCGTTGAGCCGGAGAAATCTATCTCTGGCTTGCCCTCAGCTAAGAAAGAGATTTTCTCTCTCCATCCCAGCACCCTAGAAAGGGCAGGATGAGGATGACAGACTGGTTTATGGGGTTGCTTGTCACTCAGCTCCAAAGGCACAAGCAAAGGACTCTCTAGAGGGTAAGGTACCAAGGGACAAACAATGATGTAAACAGCATGGATGCCTGAGAGGCAGAAGCAAGCTGGAGGGAAGGGGTGAGGGGACAGTGGCAGACACCCTTGTACCCAAGGACTTCATACCGCCCTTTGCTGCAGGTGGGTATAATGAGTGCCTTCTTTTTACAGATGAAGAAACTGAAGTTCAGTGGTTAAGTGACTTCTTAAGATCATGCTACTTGTAAAAGGTCTATCTGACTCAGAAGACCATGTTCTTGATCCTCTGTGCAGCTGCCCAGCAGCTCAGGCCATGAACTTAGGGGGGCGATCATGCATTACTACTCACCACGGCCATCCAGGGTTCTACAAGTTCAGGGTGTCAAGTTCAGATTGACAGCACCATATCTCTATCCCACACTTTCCCAGCCCAGACCTCACTTAGAGCAAGGAGATGGGACCTAGAAATGTATCCACTCATTTTCTCCTGCAACCTGCACATGAATTCCATTTTTCTTGATTTCCAAAGAGGACATCATGGCCTTGGGCTTACGAGTCAGGGTTTTTCTAATATTATAAGCAGGGTCTTTGGATTCAGGGGGAGCTTGGTTCAAATTCTAGCTCGACCCCTCACAAGCCCAGGGACTCTGGGAGACATGTGTCTCTCAGAGGACATAAACTGGGTCTGGATTTTTACACAAATTCTCCTGCATTTAAAGTACTGGCAACTGATTTAGGTTTTTTAAAACACGTTGAGAGGGCCAAACAAAACACATCTGTGGGCCAGAATCAGCTGGTGAGAATAAATGAGAGCAGTGCAAAGTCCCTAGCACAGTGGTGGGAGATCCATTTAGGTGCCAGTTATGAATACCATGGCAGCTTCCAGCCAGGAGTCGTATTCGTCTAACCAGCACCCACTTGGGGAACTCATCACCTCAATCAGAGAGGGCAGTAACCCTTTGCAGTAAGAAGTTCCCTGAGAGCAATATCCCTCATTCAAATATTTCACCTCTCACAGTCTCCTGCTGCCAAAAGACCAGGAGGTGACCTGTCAACATGCAGATCTGCACCCACTCCAGGCAGTGCCCCTCACAACCTGCCTTTCATAAAACATACCAAGGGCCCAGGGATCTTCTTCTGGGCCAGGGCCACACCACTGGAGGCTGTTATTAAGGGAGCATATTTTGTGGTGGTTTAATTAAAATAATCACTAGGCTTCACAGGGAAGTCACTGTTTTGTGGGTGAAGCCTCTTTCCTTTGAACCAAGCTTGTTACAGAGGTCTCCCTGCTTCAGGTAAAGCCCTGCATCACAGTGGTGAATGAAGGTCTACACGAAGTATCCCCGCTCCACTTTGGGATAACCTTTCCAACTACCCTATGTCCCACATCCTTCCTCCCATCCAACCTAGTGTTGAACATGGAGGTGGGCCTGGGGATGTGGAGAGTTTATCATGACTTCTGGTTTTCCCTCTCCACTGGCCCAGTCAGCTTAAGATCCTCCAATCTCTCTCACAGCAGTTTTGCTTTGGGGGTACAAAAAGTGCTCTCCAAACCCTGCCTATACAGGAAATGCTAATAAAGAAAGTTTCCAAGTCCTTCTATCTGCACCAACCCAGGCCTTGCACGGACACATAGGTTGGGAGGTGGGGTTCCCAAAGTTTCCTTCACACGGAACCTTGTTCTGCATCTTCCACCTCAACAGTCACTCCTTGGCAAGTCTAGTAGCTTCTCCCTCCAGCACATATTTTTAATCTGCCGGAAAACAATGATTCTCGCATCTGGACCAATAGGCAACATCATGAGGGATTGAGAAGAGACTGAAACTATTGACAACTTCATCTTGCTTGGATCCACAATTAACACCCTTTGTACCAACAGTCAGGATAGTGTTGGAAAAGAGCACTGAGCATCCCACTGAGCATGGACGGTCAAAAGAACAAATAAATACATCTTGGAGAAGGTGCAGCTGGAGTACAGTTTGGAGGCAAGAGAGATGAGGCTTTGCCTCACATACTTTGGGCATGTTGCTAGGAGGGGCTATTCTTCGGAGAAGGACATGATGCTGCGAAGGGTGGAGGGTTAGCAAAGAAAAGGAAGACCCTCAACCAGGTGAACTGACATGGTGACTGCTGAAATGGGCTCTTGTGTGTTGGGAAGTGTGAGGATGGCGCAGGATAGAACAGGGTTCTGATCTTTTTGTTCATGGAGTCGCTATTACTTGTACTTGACGCAATGGCACCTAATAGGCTATTCCCTCTGATTGTAAGGTCCTATATGGTTGTTGCATGACTTTTTCTCCTTTAGGTCTGGACTTCACTGTTACTCAAAGTCTATGCCTTTTATTACTTTAGCTAAGAAAGTTCTTTATCCAACCATACAATTTCTTCAGAGCACCGATCACAGTCTGTGCGTATTATGTTGCTGTTTAATTTCATTTCCCTTGGAAATTCAAGTCCCATGAGAATACAGAGCCCAGTGTCTACCTAGCATTGTATTGTTCATATAATAGGACTCAATGCATGCCAAACGCAGAGTTGAGTTCTCATCTCCTGCTCCCAGAAGTGTGGGGACCACACAGCCCAGCTGGCCACCTGTGGCTTGCAGGAACAAATACCCCATCTCAAGATCTCGTCCTGTTTTCACAACCTGCCTTCCCCGCCTTAACCTCACACATTTTCCAGGAGGCTTTATTTGGTCGGGCTCCTGGCTAATGATCAATGTCAACTCAGTAATAGGGCAGCAATTTGGTGGCAGATGTTTTCTTGGCAGCACTACTCATTGGTCTTAGTGGGGGCCCTGGACCTGGACTTGAAACACCAATGCCCAATGCCAGCCCCCTTTAAAGACCTCTCCACAAATAAACTCAAATAAACACCCTGGGTCTCCATTAACGCCCTTCCAGCTGACCCTGGGAACAGTGGGCCTTTCAGGCCCTCTACAGCAGCAGCTCCCTGGGCAGTTAAAACACCCCAGCCTGGCCCCCGGCCTCTGCTCTCCAGGGGCCACCAGGCCTGCCCTGCCCGCCACCACACACAGCAGGATTTCGTCCTTCTCCTTAAAAAAAAAAAAAGAAGCTTTCAAACAGGCAATTTACCATTCCAGACACAATCTTTCAAAGAGAAACAAAAACTCTCCCTGTCTGAGGCAGACCGCTAAGGCATGTGTGTAATAAGATGCTAATACAATTTAATGATATTTCGGCTGGAAAACCCGTCCTCAGAGCCTCCTTGTGTTGGGAAGGCCAGACATTCAGAAAACAAGAGCTGCACACTCTTAAACTGCTTTAAACGGGGGTCAGAGCCCCACTCCTGCCTATCTCTCATTAACTTTAATGCCTTCTCAGGGACAGTAATTGCCGTTACAAAAATGATTTTATACACAGAGTAGAGAGCTGCTGCCTGGGAACCTCAAATCTGTTTCTGCAAG